TAATTTTGTAAGGGTTCATTATAACCTACCCACATTACTCAATAACTATTCTTTAGATAATCTTGACATTTATAGTTTAGATCGTAAATCAATGTACCTACTTTTTGTATAATATGTATTAAGTTAGGTTGACCTTTTAGTTAACGCGATTTCTGCATATTTATTACCCTGATTGTTTTTCCTGCATCTCCGTCACCATTTGTCAAGCTCTCGGGACCCGGGCCCCGTCAAGCCAACAAAGATTAGCTTTTCTGTCCGGGGCTCCGGCATCTGTACTTGCAGATGCAATTAAACGATTTGATTTGATATATCATTTTATCACACAATTCAAAAAGACAAAAACGACAGAAAATCAGCAAGAATAACCTTTATCTTCCCGGTATCATGCTTGTTTTTTTTGCCTGGCTTTTCAATCTACGATATTAGTTCGCTGTAAGAGCCTACGTAGCATTTCAAAATACACAACTCCGGGCAGACATTTTAATGGCATCTGCTATCACAGTTTGTCAGGTAACACTGGCACGGCGAATTCCCAGGGGTAATATTTCACACGAGAGAAATCTAAACTGCATAAATGTATGGTGCCCCAGAATAATAGTAGCTCGGATAGGCATATGAGATTAGATCATCATAAATAGGCAATAGACCCTTCCCGAAATTCAGTCTGGCCACTTTGATCACTATCATCATCTGTGGAACGGCATCTGTGCCATACGAATGGCGGCCTTCTAGTGACTGATAAAGGTAGACGTTGAAGATGCTCTGAAGCGGTTCTTGCGAGGCCTGTACATTCGGGGGGTCAGTACGACGCGACCTGGGAATGGAACACAAGAGCTACGTAAGCATTTATTTCTAATAGCTCAGATTCAGTCAATCTGTGGGGGGCACACAATCGGCTTTAAAGCACTTTGGTGTATAGAATTTTCTCGAGGCATCTGAGTGGGTTGGAGCTTTGTTCTGAATGCAGGTTCTTGGTCACCATCGAACTGAAAGTGATCGAGAAAGAACTCAGACTGAACAATTCCCCGCGTGCCGTTGACTTCCGAAAGTGGTGGTGCCGATACTAGTTCATTTCCGCCATCGATATGGCAAAACCTAAACTGCTTTACAAACCACCAGATGGCACTGAATTTTGGAAAGGGTCTATAGGTGCTGTGCCGAAAGTTAAAAAAAAAATAGCGCACAAAAAGGAAGATACCACGTAGAGGGCGTCGTACAGCGTGGGATACGTTCGCATCAATAGAGCAGCTTGTAGGCTGCTTGAGTATGAGATCTGGAAGAAGATACATAACAAACTGGGGCAAGGACAACAAGAGGAACGACGATGCAGTTCTGGCGTCGCTTGGCTGGCTCCATCGAATCATGGCGTCGACTGCGGTAGGGCTTAAAGTGAAACGAAGATTAGCCCCATGAAGTTAAGCAGCTACCACCTCACATTATTTCACCAGAGCTCAGTCACTGACGCACCAGTCCTGCCGGCATAATGCACCAACAGACTATAGACCAACACGCGGCCCTGACGTCACGCAGCTGCGGTGGCGCTGTCGACGGTACTGCGCATGCGCAGACACTTCACTTCAGGCGGATTCGGTTTCTGCGCACGCGCAGTGCCCACCCCTGGTGTGCGCAGACGAGGGCTTGTTTGTAAACAGCGTGTCGGTCTATAGCAGAGATCTCAAACACAAGGCCCGCAAGAGGAACCCCGTTCCCATGTTTCGGCTGCTAGGAACGGTATGCACCATAATAAGGGGCTTTTAGCAAACCGTTACCGTGTTCCGCGTGCCGCACGACTGGAGCATTTCAAGCGCACCTTTAAGCGCACGCCCGGGCGTGATACCATGTCTGCGGGGCCCGCGTTTAAAAGCATGCTTCGAAGGCACCATTAGTGCGGTGAGCGGAACACGGTAACGGTTTGCCAAAAGTTGCTTTTGACTTCATATCGATAATTCATTTCCGCTCCAAATGTAGCTCTGCTCTTGAACGTATTCACATAGTTTGCGCTAATTGTTTTTCTTTTTTTTTTTTCATCTGCCATATGCGTCGTTTTAATTTTTTCTCTTCTCAACATTTGGTCGTGTTAATTGGCAGTAGGATAATAGACCGCTTGCTAAATTACCGAAGCACCAAGGAGCATGCTAAACTATGTTCACCCTTAAGCTGAGACTAGTTGCTCCACCCTCAGCGCGAGCTTTCTGCCCTTGCTAACGCAAGTGTGAACGCGCAGCCACGAGCAACCAAACCACTGCGGGAGCCAGCGAGCTCATGCTGAAGGCACTGACGGCCATAGCTGTGTGCACGAATGCTGAGCACGTGCTAAAGGCGAGCATCCACAGTTCTTTTGCAACGTGCATTCCGCACCATCAACCATCAAGAGTGCCGGTCTTAGCGGCCTATTGATGTGATCTCGTTCTGAGCATGCGCTCTAAACAGCACCCACAAATATGGCGTCCAATGAATACTCCCTATAGTTTCAGGCTAAAGGCCGGTTCAGACACTTGCGTTTGAGTGCGTTTGACTGCGTTGCGTCGAGAACCCAAAGCGAGTCACCGCCACATCTGTGCTTCGTATGAAGCGTGGAATCCAATTCAAGGAATCACCTTGGCACGCGATACAAGCAGCAGGGATGTCCTGGTTTCTCGCTGCCGCAACGCAGTCAAACGCAGTCAAACGCAACTGTCTGAACCAGGCTTTAGGGTGAACGGAGTATAGGAGTGTCGTTATACTGAGTGCCCGTGCTGGTGTGTGCAGCACTAACTTAACTATACAGAAACCTAAAACAAATGGCACCCTGCACGCGTGTTTGTCAACGCCTTATTTTGTTTATTTACATCGAATATTTTATGAGGGGGAGGTGAGCGCGTGCGGCCCGTTTACCTGCAATAACAGCACTCACCTCGATGCTCGGGTAATTTAGCAATATGTCTATCCAGCCACAAAGCTTCGAGCGCGAGCTCTTTGCTCAAAGACGCGACTGGGCTGCACGAACTCTCGCTCAGCAAGAGCAACTGCACCAAAGAAAGGTATGACGTAAAGTTTCTCGCCTTCCAAAAATATCTTAATTAAAATACACGTATTTGTTCAGACTGCCGCTAAAAAGTTCACCAGAAAAGCAAAGACTGTCGTATAAAGATGTTTTTTTTTTTTTTTCAAGACACGTTAATTCTATTAATTTCCGAGAGAATTGAGCAACGGGAATGACACTGTGCGTGATCACTTGTTATTCGCGGTGGCCTCAGGAGGATGACATTAAAGAAACAACACTAATGGATTTGTTATCCAAGAGGTGTTAGTCTTTCACGAATTTTATCAGAAGGAAGTAAAATGTTTCACCACCCTCCGGTTCGCTGTGCCTTCATCCCGTGTTTGACACAAAGAACAAGAAACAAAAAGCAGTGTCACATGTCTCAAACCCGAACGTTGATTGACTTGATAGAACATACCTCTTTGAGATGTTAATAATTTCGGGGAATTAATCAAGATGGGGAGGACTTTGGAAAATATTAATCTGACTTTTAGAGACAGAGTGCAATTCGCACCGTCTATGCTACTAGTGTGATATTAAGCGAAACTCCGCCTGGCTCGGCCATTGTTTTCGATGGCCTACCAGTCACCAAGACGGCGTAATTAGGCGTCCTTATCGGACGGAGGTTCGTGTTAGTCCTGAGACACCTTTTCTACTCAAGACCAAATCAAGCGAAGCGAGTGTCGAAGTCCGTCTTTAAACATTACCTCGATGTCCTTGTAGAGTAAATATTTTACACCTTAACGTTGGACTACCAGCTCCTTCCATCCTGGGTCGCTCTATTTGTGTTATTACGTTAAATGACCTGCGGGAGTAAAGGCTGGTTTAAACATTTGCGTTCCCTTGTAGTCGTTCGCAACGAGAGAGCTCACTGGCATAATGGCGCAATTTATTTGGCAGTCTTCGGATACTTTCTCCCGGCGTGTATGCTTTCAAATATTTTACGCGTCAATCTTTTACCATGGGCTTAAAATATTTCTGACAATGAACGATGATTTCTTGTAGGTAATGAGTAGATTTGATGTCGCAAGTACTGCGAAACCTTGCAAGAATGAGTAACCGTTTATTTTACTATGAGATTATGGCGGGCTGCTGCACTCGGGCAGGGCCCTTTTAGGAGGAAAGGATTAGAAGAATCGGCCGAGGCTCTTGCAATCCAAGTAAAACAAAACCGACTTCGGCAATTTAAATGTTGCAACTTTCGTTGCACTTCGGCTTAATCCGCTCCTCAAGGTTCCTTGCTTTTTTTTTTTTTTGTCCTTGGTTACAAGTTTTTGTTTTGTTTGCGTTGTGTTTTTGTTCTGCGGTGAAGTACTTGTACTCCCAGAGAAGATGTGTGAGGTTGCATGCGGTTGTCTTCTTGCACCGCTTACTCTCCGGAGGCCCTCATCAAAGTTGGGACCCTTCTTACATCTTACATCATCCCATTTCATGGGGAGGCGTGGTGTTATATTGCTCCCCGTCTTTACTCGCACCAAGAGTACACCTTTAGGTATTTCTTGAATCCGGCGCAACAAACAACAGACGTATTAACAAAGCCTTCAGTCGAGTGACACAGAGTTTCAGCACCAACCGATAGGTGGGGCTAGTGTGCCACTGTGATCTGTCTTCGTAGCAAGTTACAAGGAAGCACAAAGCACTCGAGCACAGTGAAACTCAAATGTGTGAACTAGCATTAACCTACACTCCCTTGATGACAAAGCGGGAGGGCTGAATTCTCTACGTCGCCTAAACACGCAAGCGTGGAGCACGTATCTTACACAAGCGAGGCGTCAGCATTCGGCTGAGACTCCTCGTGTCCTCGCAGATTGGACACAAGTGTTCCCGTTGAACGCGTACACAGCGTCCGATTCGTGCTTCGTGTCTGCCTCTTTAGGAAATGGTGAAACATTCAGCCCTTCAGCCTTGGCATTTAGGTGGGGTTGCCTCAACTTGGATCTACTCGTGTAAAATTTGGAACAAAGCTGAATCGTTCCTCCTATCCGCGGTCGAAAGACAAGTAGTGTGCCCAGTACGAGATCATGAAGAGAATGAACGCTGCCGGAAAGAGAAGCCGGGAGACGCTGTCGAAGATGTTGGAGCTGGTCATTTCCAGGTACCTTAGCTTGCTGAGGACAACGTTCCAGAAAGCCAGGGACGCGCTCTCCGGCTTTCTCTGGTTGGTGTTCTGAGTGACCGTCGAAGCGCCGGAAAGAGCAGATCCGAGAATTTCGTCGTCCGTGATGTCTTCTTCGCCTTCGGAAGCCCTCACCTGCTGACCCTGGAACGAGTATGCGTTGATTGATCGTGCTATACGGCGTTATGACCTTTTATGAATACACTGGCCAAATATCGGCTACCAAAAACAGGCAGGCTGCCACGTTTCACAGCAGACGACATTTAGGTTTTTCAAACATCCATGATACAGCAATTTTCCAATGTAAAAAAAAAAAGATATGACATACATATCTAGCTATGTGAACTAAGTAGGCACTGACTTGAAACTAGAGTCGTAAAAATCTACGAAAATGATCATTTCCACTTTTTCTCTATCGTCATTGCAGGTACGTACATTCCGTTTTACGAATGCACTGATCTAGCCCTTGGAAAGGTATATCAGCGACCGGCTCCCCCGAATCATATATGAGAAATATTAGAGCAGAATAACATTCGAACAATTGATTCTAGTTCCCATCAGCGCTAGTGCATTTATTGAAAATAGACTATGCGCCGAAAACCTGAGCAAGAGGAAACGACTAGAGAGCGCGGTGACATCAAAACATCATGATTAGTGGGTCATGATTAGTGGGTAAACCACTAATCATGGTTTACCCACTAATCATCATCATGATTAGTGGGTAAACCTAAAGCTAGCTGTCCTTGTCTCCACTAAACTCGCCGAACCCCTTAGAATGCGAAAGCCAAACGCCGACGCTCACCGTTTGGCTTCAGCAATATTTTATCCCGCTACGATACAATCCCGCCAAAATACAATACAATTTTATTGAAGCGAATTTATCCGCACATACAGCACCTAATATGATGAGATTCGATGCGCGACGCCGGTGATTTTTTCTTTTTTTGTGTGTGAATCAAATAATTATCGCAAGAAGGTCGCTTGTTCTAGAAACTCACAAGTCGCTTCGCCTTGACGTGCTGGTAAGCTACGGCGTACTCTAGCAACGATGCGAACACGGTGATGAGACAGGCAAAGAGCCAAATGTCTACGGCCTTCACGTAGTCCACGGGCGGCAGAGTGCTCCGGGACTGCACTACCTGCAGGGATGAATACAAGCGCCACAACTTTGAATGCTGATCTCAATGAGACATGACGAAAACACAAAACCCTTTTTTTTTATTTCAATTAACCACTTGTAAGGAGAGCCTGTTTCAAAATGAGGTGGAATGCCAAAATGTTTTACCCACTAATTTTTTTAACCCAATCACTTTAACGTAACACCAACATAGATTTTAATCGTCGGGAAGTTATCGGACGTCTACGCTCTAATTGCTGTGGCATTTAAAACACCATCACGTTACAGTCGCGAAATAGAATCACTCCGCGGAACAACCAAAAAAAGTCAACAGCCATGACGAGCTTCGGGACGACAGCGTTACGTGATCTTCGCTAGCAGACCTTGTACGCATTGCAGAAGAGCAATGACTGGCAATCTTGAAGGCCAGAGAGAAGCTTCCGGCGCATGGTTAGGTTGTATCTGATTAGCTGTCGTTCAGAAACATAAGCCTTGTGCCGATTGTGAGAGTAATGTTGGCTTAGGAAAACCACCTGGGTTGTGAGTGTGAGGATTGCCGTCACCCCGAGAGTGATGCGTCCCTGCACAGCGTGGACGTCCAGCCAGAAAGACAGCCAGGACAAGACTACGACCAGTCCGCTCGGGATGTAGGTGTTGACAATGGAAGCAGTCAGACGGCGCTCGAATGTGAAGTTCACCAGCAGATGCGTGTAGTTCTCTGCGAGCGAGCCGAACACAAACGAACCTCAGTATTAACATTAAAATAATGTTGCGCCCATGTTTTTACTGTTGGAAGTTATCCTCAATGGGTGTCTGGTGTTTCAACTGTAGATGAAAAATCTTGACAGTGCAGTACGACTGCTAGCTTGGGGTCTTTAACGTGCATCACGCAGTAGTGGTACACACAACTGCAGACCGGTACGATGCTCATCTAGATTGAAACGGGTAGGAGTGTGGACTGTACCCAGAATCCCTGCGTTCAGCAGCCAAAGCTTTCGCTCCATGTATAAATCACAAGATGAAAGATTTCCTCCACTTCCCTTGCTTATCCAACACCAACTTCATCAAACGACAGCCATAAAATAAGGTTAACTGGGTCGCTTTTTTTTCAAATGTAGGGTGTAAGCACTGAGGACTGCACCGGTATACGGTAAAGTTAGTATGGATAACAAGTAAGTGCGTAAACGAGCTGATGTAGATTGAACATCTTTTCCGGAAAACGACGAGACTAGAGAGAAAACAGTTACTCGACAAAGGAAAAGCCTCAAACACGGCTGAAAAAATATTTGGCTTCTTGGTTTGGTAAGGTTGTAGCTACAATGACGAGTGCTAAGTGGGTGTTAGAATAGAATGTTTGTTTTGTGCGTTTTTAGTCTCTCTTGTGTCCTTTCTTGTCTTTGTGTGAAGACTAAACCTAAAAAGTTACTTGTCAAGTAAATTTCCAGCTGCATTCGAAACTTCGTGTTTGTCTTGAACCTATTTTTTACTCTAGTCTCGGGTTTGTTTGTTCTTCGTTATTCCTATGGATCCACGAAGTTAGTGTACCCAATACCATTTGAAAGATAAGGCATGCGCCTGTCCTATAAGGACAATTGCTATTGCTTTATTGGGTTGTGTACATTTTAAAATAATTGCAGCCCGTTTCGGTCCTTCTCGACAAGCTTCTTGTACGTAGCACACATTACAGGGCCGTTAATGTCGGGTAAATTGTGCGAATACTGAGATTTGTAGATTCATTATGTATCAGGTCATGATACCCTGTCACGTGATGTGTACACGTGACGCTGATGGCGTCACCCTACTGACGACGCTTCACTGTCGCGTTTTCATGCCATTTTTAAGTGTCGGCCTTCAACACAATATTTTCTGTGCGCCGAGATACTGAGGGACAGGAGGAGACGTCAGAAGCCGAGCTTTGGCTTGAAAGATTTGTGGACCTTTGACTCCACTGCACTCGTCGAACCCGTTCGAATGCGAGAGTCAAGCGCCGGACACCGGCGTTCCGCCTTCTGACTCGCTCGACCAGTGCACTAGAGACAAAGGCTGCCTTTGTCTTCACTGCACTTTTCCAACGCGTTCAAATGCGAGAGCCAAACGCCGGGCGCCGGCGTTCTGTGTCCTAACGCGTTCGACGAATGCAGTGGACTATAGCCTTCTCTATACTCACAAAGCCTGGCCGTTCGACGACGGAGCCATTGCTTGCCCGGTCGCAGACTTAGAGCGCGAGGATCTTGTTGCGCGGACCATCAAAGAGCCATTTCTCGGGGAACGTGGACGTCAGTGCACAGCTTTTGCAGCGGCGAGGACCCAAAACACACTTGTTCACTCGGGAGAAGTGTTTTTCGGTGTCTCGCCGCAGCGGGGCGCCAGTCACGTGGCTCTCCTCTCATTCGTTGTCTGCCGCTCCACCTTTTCCATTTTGGCGGCCGTTTCTCGTGGCCATCTGCCAGGCTTTGTCAGTATATTGGAGGCTATGAGCGGAAGCAAAGGCCGCTAGCTTTAGCTCTATAGTCAGTTACAGGTTAAGAAAAGGTTTTGAGGGGAAAGAAGGCTGGGGAGAAGGAAGCGGACGGAACGCTGAAAAGAGGAGGAGGTTTTCTTCTCTCCTCTTCAGCATTCTGTTCACGTCCTCCTCCCCCGAGCCCTCCTTTCCTTCAAAAACATTTTTTTAAACCTGTAACTGACTATAACCTCTAATCATACCAACCACAGTTCGGCGTTCTGACGACCCCGTGCGCTTTCGTCTCCTCATCGCCCTCCGTTTCATAACGCATATCTTATTCTACTTTAAAATTCTTCCTAAAATCCATCTCCAGTTGACATTTTGCGTTACCGATAAACGTTCTCCCGCTTGGTGTAAACTTTGGAAACCTGGATATCCAAGTTTCTAACGTAAAAGACAAATGCTCTTGTGGGGGTTTTCTTTTTTAAGTCTTACCTCCGAGGAAGACTTCGCTGTAGCGGTATGCAAGGGGAGCCTTGATTCGGAACTGGAGGGGCTCTATCCGATCCACGTACTCGATGGCATCGCTGGGACCTTCCTGCACTCCGCCCTGCCAGCTCAGTTCTGTCATCCAGTTGGGAGTGGCCACTGCGGTTAGAATTGGTTTGAACTTTGAAACCCGTGGTAAGAAAACTCGAAACATTTTTTAGAGGAGAAAACAATACATAGACACATATAAATTGAAATTTGAAGACCCTTGTTCTGCCTCTTGTGAGCTTCTTTTACCGGTTAACGTCGGGATCTTGCTTCTCTGTTTTAACCCCATCACCCCTTCAAGATCAATGTACTCTTGGTGCTTTTCACTTGTTTTCGCTTCTTCTTCGCATAAAATGCCCTTCCCCTCCCCCTTTTGGAAGCAGAGAGAGAGAGAGAGAGAGAGAGATAGAGTTTCATGTCTATTCTGAATAAAGTCCGAACTAAATCTTGTCCATCCTTGACCACTTCTTGCTATCCTTTATTTCTCTGTTTAGTTTCAGAGAAAATAATGTTGCGGGAATTATTTTCCTTGCATGGCCAAGTTTCTACAATATACAGTTTAATAAAAAGTTTTCCAAGGAACTATCAAAATTACAATTAATCTGCGTTCTGTGATACTCAGGTAATTACAGACCTGGAGAACATTACACCCTTTTCTCAACAAAAGCAGAAATTGATAATTTCGTGAATGTGGCCCACAGAGTTCACTGCAAAACATTTTGTAGAGCCGTTGAATAAAAAACCACACCCGTCCAAAAGTTTAACAACTGCTTATTGCTATTATATGACTTTCATCTAAAATATCATTGGGGAACATTGCAATGTTTGCTGTTGTTCAGTTGAAATACACAATTCAGTGCATGCGCCCAGGTGTTGATGTTCAATAAGTTTAGGGATGCATACAAATAAGATTGAACTTCGGCCTCTGAAAAAAAGAAAATCAGGTTTATCACCAACTGAACTCCTATCAATACCTGTTTCGACATGATGTAAGTACTGAAATCTAGAGATTAGTGTACTAGAAGAGCATGCTAATGACTTTTTCCAATGCGCAGGAGGGGTCTCATGGTTCATCCAGTAAAGCAGAGTACCATCCTGAGGTCGACAGCAGAGTCAGAACTCGAAATTGCGATTTCAAGATACTATCTCTCTTCCGTTCTCCACCGCCCACTCTTACCCAGATAATAGGATTGCTTTGCAGCGCTGCTGCCAACTCACATGTAGTATCTTGTTCTGTAAGATGAATGGCGGGACCGCTCTTGCCCGCCTGACTGTCACACCTCTCCTTCTAAGTGTGTTTTACAAGTTTGAAGAAAAACACTTTGCACCGAGAGTGTCTAGAAGTATGGTCATTTTAGGGTCATCACTGAAATAGCGCAGTCTCTTAATGCCTGTCGCCTCCGAGTTGTTCCTTTCCAGTAGTTCATTTATTGACTGAACTCTTTAGTTGCATGCATCACTATATAATGAAACACTTAATGGCTACCTTACTTAATTTCTTATGATAAAACATTATCAAAAACTTTCTGAGATTCCTTGCCAACATTTATTCATTCCGCCCATTGAAACAAGATCACAGTAACAGAAACCAAAAGGAGCTTACTGAGGGAAACTCTAAAGTGGCACTGTTGTACATCCATGGGGTAGTTGTGGAAGGTCATCATGCATCGCACCTGAAATAAGTACCTGATGGAAAAAAAAATTGTTTTGTGTTTTAAGGCCCATTCTTTAATATAACACATTATACCAATTTACAGGCGCATGATATCTCTAGTGGCAGCTTGTGTCTACGTACTTTGACCCCAAATAATTTGGGACGAATACAACCTAAAATAAAACTATAGAAAAGTCCCTGCTTAATGATGATTACGTGCGTTAAATAAAAAATATATCTCTTTAGAACATAATATGGTAGTGCTGCGTTGTACCTTGAAATTTTTTTCTTATATTTTCTGCGCTGTTACAAACCTTCCCCCCCCCCTTTCCCTCCTCATCTAAACAAAAAGCAGCTTGCGGCTAACGCTGTGAAAACTTATCTTCTTCAATAGTTGGCAAACATGAAGCCTTTGACTTTCTAAAATAGGATGCTATATGTCTAATAATAATTAAAAACGAGCGTGTCGGTGAATAGATAAAATTACTTGAAAGGATAAAACATTGAGGACGGGGACGAAAAGAATACTTTTTTATGCGAGAGAAGTCCTGTTACTGTCCCCGAAGTTTTATCATTTCATGTATTCGTATATGTGTCTCACATCTATTGTCTCAGCTGCTACTCATTTGGGGTTATAGGGGGTAGGTTATAAAATATTCAACTAAAGGCAGGGATTGCAGCAGGTTAGGATTAGCGTGTATCATTCTTTTTAATGGAAATGTTAAAATAGATTTTATGCATTAGGTGATTGTGCGCAAAAACAAAATTAGGCTTTATGGCGTTCTGACGATGATGAAGCATGGGCTCGCTATGATTCCTTGAAGTGGCAAGCGTTTACCTTTGCTGATTTTCTAAGAGTTTAGCCACCAAAGAAATATAGTGTCTTATCTTTATATTTCTGCCTATAGTTAAAGAGCATGATAGTGGTGGCAGCCTTCTGATTGATACACCTGTTAGAAATTTATAGCAATACGACTGAAACACTGCCGCAAAAAAAGTAAATTCAAACACCGTTTAAAACATCAGTAAAAAAAAACGGGAAGATCTATCGGTTTATTCTTAAGGAATGTGTTAGCATAGCCCTTGGGAGACGCACACACGTCCCACTTTGAGAAACGCTAAAGCTGAACCCTTCCTTTTTTTTATTTTGGCTTTCTCTTTTGCTTCTTTTTTAGTTTTTTTGCTGCCTCTTTTTGGCCTTGTTACGGGGTCACTGTTAGCGTCTCCCAAAAGGGAACGTGTGTGGCGTCTCCCATGGGTCATGCTAACAGATTCCCTAAGAATCCACCAATGGATCTTCCTGTAATCTTCTTACCCCTTTTCTGTACTCTCTGCCTGTCGACGCCCTTGGATACAGTCATCCATATCAAACGGGGAAAGAACCACATCCACACCACTCGTGGAAGGAACCGCATTTGTATCACTCGTGGAGGAAACCGCATCCATCGTATTAATTACACGCACACATCACAGCCCACGCACCGCTACTACGGAAACCCAGAGCAAAGAAAAACCAGCTGCCCGTATTTCACCGCTTTAAATTGCGCTGAATATCTTGACTTGCCCAAGTGCCGCCATCGTTTGATCGTGCTGGGAGTACTCCTATTGGATACCGGCGACGCGACGCCATTTTTGGCTCAGTGCGCATCCCATATCCAGGCGCGCACGCTCCCGTTGCTCTCCTCTGGCTACCGGTGACGCGCCGCCGTTTGCGAGCACGCTCCTATTGATACCTTTGTAGATGCCGGCGCCGCGCCGCCGCGACAAACTAGGTTGGCGGCGACGCTCTGCCATTTTTGTCTCGAGTGCGTCCCAGCACACACCAGCTTGGCGGCACTTGTTTGTAAAATTCCTCCCGCGTTTCACACCGCGCCGCGGCGCAACACCTCCTAGCTAACAAAGCCGTAGTGCTGAATGAGATGGCGCCATCAGAGAAGGCCAACGCTCCCAGATTGGATACGAAGATTACGTCAACGTTCGGCTTAAAATTTAAACTTGAGTCCATGCCGAGCCCTGACGCGGAACTCACTCCCGCTCTGTGTCCAGCGTTGGCCTTCTCTGTTGACGCGATCTCATTCAGCACTAAGGCCTGGTTCAGACAGTTACGTTTGACTGCGTTTGACTGCGTTGCGGCAGCGAGAAACCAGAACACCCTGCTGCGTACATCGCGTACCAATATGACTCCTTGAATTGAATTCCAGGCTTCGTACGAAGCTCAGATGTGCCGGGGACTAGCTTTCGGTACTCGACGCAACGCAGTCAAACGCACTCAAACGCAACTGTCTGAACCGGCCTTAAGGCTTTGCTATCTAGGGGGTGTTGCGCGGCGCCTCCTCCTCTCTGGCTCCGCGCCAGCTGTGTGCACGACTTCGACGAAGACCTAGCGACTCGTTTCGACGAAAACCCGGTGGTGTCTTTCAGTTTGTCAGCTGCTAGGAGAAAGAGAGGAGAAGGGGGAGAAGTTGACGTGTGCTGACGTCAGCCCTTCGCACCAATGGGAGCATCGTACGCGTCACCCTCTTCCCCTTCTTCTCCCTCTCTCCCTTTAGCTGACAAACGAAAGACAGCGCCGGGTTTTTGTCAAAACGAGTGTTCTAATGCTAACGCATTACAAAAATTATATTCACTATCAGGGGTGTAAATACGCGCATTGAACACCATAAATTGGTGTCGATATGCCTCATTTAACACCTTCCTCCGGCGTTTTCTTCATGATCCCCGGTTTGCCTGAATCTTTTCTAAAGACACCAATAAACATCGCTAAAATAGTATCTCAAGTATTAACCAAAAAAAAAATATATATACATATTTTGCGAAGTTATTGAATTTACAATGTTGGTGCTCGCTGTATTTTTCATACTGAACGTCTCTACTGGTAACAATCAAAAGTAACGTCAGAGGCAGGCAGGAGTTCACTCCTTGGACTGTAGGATTTCTTCTCAACATGATGTCGAATGAAAGCTTTGGAAGCTCGCTCAAGCATACGCGCCGCAGCACTAAAAAAATGCTCGGCACTGTCCATTTTTTAGACTAATTGCTCGACTGGCAAGCCTGCCTGCCCCTGACGTCACGGCACCGAAAATCTCGGGTATATCTGAATGTTAGTTTTGGTGTCGTTTTCGTTTTCCGAGTTCACAATAACTATCTTTAATATGGTGGCACTTCAAAGCACACCGGAAAGGGCAAAGGCCACGTGGTTTCGGAAAATATAACTGATTGGATAGCTCGAAAAATCGCCGGAGTACCTTTTTAAAGGCCGACGAGCGGCCAGAAAGGAGGAAACTCTCCTTATATTTCTCCTTTTCATTCGAGAAAGAGGGAGAGCCTCCTTTCTGCGGGAGGTAGCTCAGAGACCCACTCCTGTCGCGAGAGGAGGAAAGAAGAGTGTCACAGTGAGTGTGGGAAAGGAAACTCGGAAACATGTTTAGGGGTTACAAGCGCTAAAAACGACGGACGA